CGCTTCCCTGGGGAGATTATTCCAGTGGCTGATTGCTCTCATTGGCAAAAATTTTCCTCTTGTGTCCAGCTAGAATCTCCCCAGAAGTAACTTGTGCCCATCACACCCCATCTTCTTCATGCCACTCCTTGTAAAAGTGGTCTCCATCTTCTTTGTAGCCACCCTTTAAATACTGGAACACGGTGATAAGGTCTCCCCTGAGCCTTTCCTTCTCCAGGCTGAACAAGCCCAGCCCTCTCACCCTTCCCTCACCCGGCTTCCCAGTCCTTGATCATCTCTGTGGGCCTTCTCTGGCCTTTTCCAGTGCTGTTTTTCCAGCAGTCCAAATGCACTGGGCCGTAGTTACTCTGTCGTGTCCCATGGGAATTTCCCAGGTGACATACACAGGACCAGAGGCAGCTACAAAAGCGCAGGGAGCTCACACAGGTCATCTGCTCAGGCAGCTGCTTCTCAGCCCCTTGCTAAGGATGACACTAGCTGTTACCCACAGTTTACTTTCACACGGAACTGGCCGTTTGTGAACCTCTCTTTGCCATGGCAGACTCTGATTTTTACTGCTATGTGAAGCATTAATTAACAGCAATTTTGCCTTCATTCGAGCTCAAAGAGAGCAGCTAGTAAAGCTTTCACACATTCAGATGCTGCTTTTGCAGCCTGGAAAGGTGCTTGCCTGCTCCCCTTTCTGAGCTGCAGCCTACTTGCGCTGACCTCGCTAACACAGGGGACTTTGGCAGTGCCTTTTCTCACGTTCCCCAACTGGAAGGGCTGTTGGTCTGTTTTCACATCTTACAGTATGTTTCTGTGCTCTTTTTTTTTTCAGTTGGTTTCCCAAGGAAACAAGGCTTACGTGATTATCCTGTGTTTGTATGCGGGAGAGAAAAGAGAATTAGGCTCCTTTTAATAACTTTTAAACCTGTTGGGCAGTTGCACCCAAATTAGGCAGCAAGGTTAGAGATAGCATCTTCTGTTGATAGTATTTTCATGCAAATAGGCTGCACTGAAAGTAAAATCATGGCATTTTATGTCCCTGCTGAGAAAGACCCTCAAGCAATGACAGCCCAACCCCACTGTAGACATCAGAGGACCCGCACAAAAAGACCCAGCTGCACAAGCATGACCAGTTACCTGTCCACACTGTGTAAATGAAAATGAAGTGTGAAGTCTTTATACAGTGACCACATGCATCAAACATACAGAGGAGGGACCGGGACAGTGAGAGAGCAAGGCAAGGGGTGCACAGTGCAGTGTACCAGCAGGGTCTGCCTCTTAAACTATCAACTGAAACCCCAGGTATGGAATTCCAAACTGAATCCCTGGAAGTCTCAGGCCTTTGACAAATACTAAAACTGCTTCAGACCCCCACACTTAAAAAATTAGAGCCTTCCCGAAGAATTCCTCTTTGTTACCCTCCCAGCACCACCTGAGTGGCTGTAGGAAGCATCCGCAGACAGCGATCTCATGCTGCAATTGAATCTTTAACCAGCTTTCCAAGTATCTTTCAATCTTCCCAATCAAGGGCTCTTCCCTGTCTACCACGTGCTTCTTTTCACGTGGGGCCCAGCTTTGCTGTTTCTGGGGAAGCTGCTGGGACGTGAGGGTTTGCTTGCGTGTGTGAGAGGAAACCAAGAAACAGATCCACAGCGAGAGGCAAAAAGGGTTTTTCCAGCTCCTCTTCAGCAGACAGCACACCAGCACAAAGAGATTTCTTTCGTTGCTGATTTATTCTTGGGCTTTCAGGCTGTTTTACTTAAGTTAGATTCCAATATACACTGAGCTTGGATTAAACTCATTTCCTTTCCCTCTGTTTATGAGATGGCAAAGGATCAGGGTGCTACTGGCCGGTGCAGCGAGCAGCAGCTCTGCTGAGCACTTTGCTTGCCCGACACACCCCACTGAGTCCAACAAATTCTCTCCAAGGCTGTGCTAATGCTTTCTGCCTAAAAGGGGATTAGGATGGTCTGCCTTAGACTTCCCCGCTCCTGCCCTGCTCCCTCCTTCCTGGGCCCTGACCTTTCCAATGCGGAATAAATCACTGCAAGGTTTATCCCCACTGCACGTTCTTTTGCAGTAGCGGTGGCTTCTCCTGTTTAGTCATTATGGCCAAAAGGTTTATTTCCAACTATCCTCCTATAGCTCCCGTGCAAACCCAGCCCTTGGGTTTGCTGTGGCTTGATACAAGCTCACTGAATGGCAGCTGCTAAACACACGAAGCTCTGAAACAGTCCCGGTGTTCAGCCTTCAATGCAGGCAGGGAGAGCTGAGGATGCAGGCACAGGCTGAGTTCAGGCTCTTGGATCTCAGTCTCGTCTGCCTGGCTCTCTGCCACTGATATTCCTGCTCTCTCCCCCTGTTCCATGTTCCCACTTGGTAAAACTGGGATTCTGCTTGTGAAGTTTAACTTTTTTATTGTGTTAAGAGGGAGTATGAATCCCAAGTCTCTGCCTGTTGATCCTTTTGGCTCAGCAGTCAAGCTAGCAGCAGAGGCCGGCTGGGAGTCCCGCTGTACACGCAGCCCCCATCCGCTGTCACATCATAGGATCTCTCAACTATGATTTCCATGCTATTTTCCCAGAATCAAAGAGCACAACAAGACCTTGCTAGGTATTTTCTGCATTTAAAGCTTCCAATTACAATTCACTGCTCTGCCGGCTGCTAAAACTCAAGGACAAGCAGCATTGCTGGTGTTATGATAGATTGTAAATTTTTCCATCCCTGGTTAATCCATCAGGAGGGTGGTGAAAAGTAGCTGCTTGCCTCTGTTCAAAGAAGATTTGTGACTTTATTCCTGCCCTTCTCAGATCCAGGCATCAAGCCTCTTTTCTCCCATACTGACAAAGAGATGAACATCATGTAACCTCAGCGCAGTTAGACTCAACTTCTGTTCAGCTTGGGAGATGGTTGCTTTGATTTTAGACTAAAGAAATCTGTGTGTCCAACAGCTTCTCCCACTTCCCCCCCTGCAAGTATGTGCGTGGTCTAATAAATGATGCTGCCTCTCCCTACAAACCTCGCTGTGTTTTATCCTCATATCAAACAATCCTGTTTCTGCTGTGCTGATGGTGCTCATTTTTTTTAGCTTGGATGGCAGGAGTTTGCGTGGTTTGAATTTACCTGCCAGGTGCTTGCAGTGATGGATAGGTTTCCACAGAGGTAAAGGCTGAGCTAAGAGGAGGGAGAGGAAAGCCCTGTGCAGCCTTCCAAAGTGCACACATAAGGCTGAGCTGTCACTGCCATTAATCAGAAAGCTGTCAGCACTGAGAGCAACTGCTCCAGAGACCTACTTCCATTACAGAGGGGAGTAACAGCCCTGGGGAAGAGCCACAGATAGCAAAGGCATCTGCAAGGGACTCTGTAATTACAAACAGCAGCTCCCTGGTTCTGGTGGAAGTGAAGGGCTTCTTTTTGTAGTGAGCAAAGAGATTATCAGAAAAGGAAAGCTGCACTGGATGGAGCTGATAAGGTCCCTGCACACGCATGGAGATTTAATCCTCAGTTGCCGCTCATCCTATACTGTCTTAAGTGCTGAATTCCTACAGGGAAAACATGGAAAACTGGAACCCTAGTGCCCATCTATCTTGAAGTAATGGTAACAACTTCATGTAACCTGTACTCACAGAATGCTCAAGCCTCCCTGGGCTGCAGCAGACGATGGTGTAAGAGAGCACTGCACAGGCACGTTATTATGTTGGTAACACATCAGGGTAATTCTCCTTCAAGCTATACTAACCTACCAGTCTGGCAGCAATAAAGTATTTATGCTTGCAAAATGCATAATTTACCCATATGGAGCATTTACAAACCACATTGATTTCCCATGAGTATATGCATATGTTCATCTAGGTCCCCATGCCTATATATTTAGCTGCATTAAAAAAGACAGCCTTTGATTGCATCTGATCTGTTGAGTGATCGAGCTCACTTGTGTCTATGGCCTTGTTGTCGTGGTTATTTACCACTCTCCAAATCTGAGTCATCTGCATTCATTAGTAATGATTACAGATTTCCCAACAGGTCATTGATACAAGTATTGACAAGGCCCTGGGATAAGAAGCCATCCCTAAAGGGCACACCCTCGCCTACTGCTGCTTCTCCATCAGTGATTATATCCAGAGATTTATCTGCATATGCTAACAAGGAGCTGCAGGTGTTTTGCCAAGGATTTCAGGGGAGGTAAAACTCAGACTCATGTGAGTTGTCACAATTCATTCCATAAATTGGATTGCGCTGAGTTTTTGCTCAACTGCCAAGATATTTCACTGGAGGTAAGGCAGAAGCAAACAGATCTCATCTAATTTCATGGGAAATGTATTTCTCTTAGTGGGTTTTTGCACTGGAAGAAATGCTCATGTATAAGGAATGTAGTTGAAGCAATCAGGACACTCCCAGCACCTCTGTCATTGCCTGGAACATCTATAACCTGGTGAGCAGAAATGACTTTCCAGGTATCGTGGAAAATGTATCAAAATACATTTTATATTGTCCAGAGAAATAATTAACACAAGAATCAATCTGGCCTTGCATATGCTTTTTCTTAGTAAGTCATTGAGCCATTAACCTTGAGAAGGTCAATACACTGTCCTTACTGAATTCAACTAAAGCAACATTTAAAGTAACATTTAGAAGCAAGATCTGTTCACAGTTTCTTAATTAACTATTGGTTCCTAAACTATGAGACTGAATACACCTTTTTGCTTCCCTATCCACCTGCCCAGCGTCACCATCCTCCTCTCCCCTTCTTATGGACCGTCGGGAATTTGGGAATGAGGTAAGATAAGTGAAGAAGTAGACAGACCCCCATCTACAGAAAGCCTGAGTGATGCAGGTAATTTGGGGGTCTCTTTGAGGAGAGCTCACTGGGAAACAAGGCAAATGTGAAGGATGCCCCACTTCTTCAAGGATCAAAGACAAATGCCTCCTCTCCTGTAGCACAGACATGAGTCCCAGGATTTCTGGACCATAACTACTTCCAAATCACCCTTTCCTGCATGTAGTCAGCTCACCTCCCAGTATCCTCCTGTAGTTGGTGGGATGGCAGGCACTGAGCAATCCAGATGGTCCAGCTTGATTTCGTTACCGCCTGTTCTTGGGACCAATGCCCGTCTGTCTTCTGTTCCCTGAAAAGCAGAATCAAGAGTGGCTTTTCACTGCACTTCCCAGACTCAAATGTCATCTCCAAGGCATCCCAACCTCATTCCTCTCCATGGACACACAGGAGCCAGTGGCTCACATGGGTTAAGCTGGTGTTCTGCAGATGTGACAGCAGCATGGTCCAAACTGCTGCAAAACTGGGTTGTTTTGTACATATGGGCAAAGAAAGTCTCATGGGCTGAGCCTGCAGTTGAGATACTCTATAAAGTACAGCCATGGGGCAGGAGGGAGAACTGCTGATGGGTGCTTATGCCATGTCCTCTCACCCACGGAAGCTTTTGCCTCCACATCCACGAGGGATTTCTCCCATTTCAGATGTGAATAGCTGAGCCTGCAAACTGAGCAGCTCTGAATGCCAGAGGGGAAGAAACAGCTTTAGTGACCTGAGGTGCTTTCCAAACTGCATCCCCTGGAAAAATATCCCCTTCCAATCAAGACAAGTACCAAAACTAGAGATCTGTCACGGCCTGAGAATGAAAAGAAATGTTAAATAAATAATTCGGGGCTCTAAAACCACTGTGTGTAAGTGATATGAAAATAGGATTCATTTTGATTTAGATGTTTTTGTCATTTCTCCTTTCAAGCTCCAATGGACTCTTTCCTTTGTCCTACATATTTTCAACTTATTTTGAACCCTAAATCAAAACATCTTTTGTTTAAAAAACACAGACATGCTTGTTTCAACAGTTTCAAAGCTTCCCCCAGAAGGAAATGGTTTTGAACTGAGAAATTTGTCAAATCAGCTCCTATCAACAATTTTGGCTTTAATAAATCGTTTTGTAAATGGGAAAGAAACCGCAACAACCAACATTTCACAAAGGAAAAACAATGTGACCAGTGACCAGTTCTTCATCTGGGGAGCTTGAATTTACAAGGGGCACACCTTGCGTTTGAGTGGCCTGGCCATGGGTTTCACAAAACACAGTGAGAAGACTAGGAAGATGAATGCAGGGATCTGGATGAAGATTCTCTCTTGGTCAAGTTCCACGTGCCTCAGTCTCCCCATCTGGGCAATGAGAGCAGGAACACTTAGGAGAGCTGGGTCCAGCTGTGGTGAGGATGTGAAAGAAGACAGAGGAGTTGGGAAGCTCCACAGTGAGGACACACTGCTGGATGAACTCTGCAGGGGATGTAGTTCACAGGACAGATTCAGACATCCATCAGCTGGCTGCTGGTCTGGCAGCTACGGCCAGAGGTGGAGAGGGTCTGGAATGGTTTCTTTTTCTCCTGAACTCCTGTTCTCTCATTTTCATTCCAAGCAGAAAGAAACCAATTTGAAAGCCCTGAATTGTTGAGCAACAAAAGCGCTGGTCTGCATCCAGCCCCACTTTTTGCCCCATTTACATTCTGTCCATTTTGTGGAGAGCAAATACATATTCTAAGGCTGTACCTTCTAATGCCTGGCTTGCCTTGTCGTGCACAGAGCACCACAGGGGATAGCTCTGGGTCAGGGAAGGGCAACCCCTGCTCAATCTTGCCCTTCAGCCCTCACCAAGGACTGAAGGAAAGCATCTTTTACAACACTCTGCCTGCACAGCCCTGGGCTTTGCATTGTAAATACTCTGTGGAAGTGATTCCATCCCTGACAAATGAAAAAATTCTTTATTTAGGAAAACCAAACACGTGTTTGCTGTCACAAAGGAAAACTGCAACCTAAGACAAGATGTCATTGCTTTGTTATCAGGGCACATAGGTAAAGTCAACAGCAGCTGATACAGCGTTTGTCCTTGAAGGACCCCTCAGGAAAAACTGGAAAGGAGAGGAAGGGACTGCTCTGCTCTGCTTGTCCCCTGGGCATAGGTCAAGAAATAATGAATCCCATGCATGGAAAAATTAGGCAGAAATTAGGACTGACTCCTGTCAAGGGGGATGATGAGGTGTGACAGGATCTGCCTGGAGCACTGTGGGATTTGTCTCTCAGGCTTTTTGTATCAGGCTGCTCCCGTCCATAGCGATGGCTCCTCCTGCCCCAGGACTGTTCAGTCCATCTAAGGACTTTAGGAGGGAGCATAAGGCACTTTCAGCCAGTATGAGGCAGTGGGTGATTAAGGGCAGGGAGAACTCCTGGATGGTAAGATATGCACTGCAGACATTCCAATGCTTTGTCATTGTGCTGCTTTAACCCTTCCACAGCCTGTTCCTCATCCACAACACCCAATGCCTGCAGTGCCTCTCTCTTGCATCTTTTCTGTGTCTTCCACAACTGGGAAAAATCCAGCAGCCAGATGAGATCGAGAAATTCACTTTTTATTGCTTCCTTTTGAAAAAAGGGTTTCTTAAGGAAGGAAAAAAATCAAATTACAACATGACTAACTTCACAGAAAACACTGTCATGGAAACAGTCAGTGCCAGATAGGACCTAAAACCTAGCGTGAGGATGGAGGTGGGACCCACTGTATAACTGGTTAATATTTCACAGAGGAGAGAAATGGAGGCATAAAACAAGCAGAAACTTATAAAGTAGAGGCTCCTTATTACCAGAGGGCATCCAGTTTATAAGGAACCAGAGAGCAGTAACCACTGAGGGTGAGAAATAATTACTGTAAAACTACAAAATAATGCTAAGATGAAGAGGCAAAACACGATGCAGCCTTGACAGAAGTCTAAATATATGTTGCCTTTCACAGAAATACATGGGTGACCCCTGCAACTGCAAATGGAGTGACAAACAGCAAAGAGCTCAAGAACAGAGGAAACATAACATTGAGGTGTCATTAAACCTGAAGTAAATAGTTGATGAAGCAACTCAAGCAACTGCTTTCTCATCAAGAATGCCACAGCCCTGACCCTGGCAAGAAATCAAGTGGACCTACTCAGAATAATCTCCCTGCTTCATATCCAGCATAATTTGGAAGTTATGAAGTAGTCATGTCCTCTGGTGCCCTTGCTGAGTTTCCATTTATTAAGCAGAGTATTCAGCATCGTTCTTTTCTTTTCATGCCACAGCTTCTTGTTAAAATTCAGAGGTGGATTGGAAGAAAAAGGCTGTGTGTAAAAACCTGGCTGAAAGATCATGACCTCCAGAATAAACATCCATCAATTGAGGAGTCATACAGACTGTGCTCAGAGATGGAAAAGTGCTGTGATAAGGCTGTTAAGAGTGCTACAAAACAAGAAGTGGCACATGTAAGAATTCAGTTATTAAGAGAAACACTTCCCAAATGCCTCCCTGGAAGGAATGACTTATAAGGTCTTTGGCAGATGTAAGAAATAGAGAAGGAGCTGGGCAGAGGAGTCGGGTGTGTACAGAGCCAGACGGGCAGCCACAGGACACAAACCTTGCTGTTGGGATGGAAGCCTGCCCCAGGCAAAGTGTGGCTGCACAGGCTCCTCTGCTCATGCAAGGAACACAGCATCCTACTCTTGACTCCATGCTAGACCCAGTCTTAGGGCTGCCTTTGCATTTGATTCTTGGCCCTGGGTGATTTCCAGACTGCAGAGAAGACATACATTCACGTATCAGGAAACTGAGGTCTCCCAAAGTGACTGCAAAGCTTGTTTCATTAGCACATTATCAATGGTTTTCTACTTTTCCACTGCTCCACTAATGAACAGGGCTATCAGGATTTCAATAACGTGAATTAACAGCATCAGAAATTAAATGATTCAATCCACAAGTGGTTTTGCAGGTTCACGGTATTCTTGCTCATTTAAGTAAAGCCATTCCTCCTGAACATATTTGGGCAATGGCATCCCTACTGTAGCAGAATAATTACTGTAATTGTCCCAGGTTGTTAACTCAGTGGGTGACAAAGTGAAGCACAACTCAGTCAAAAATGAGATACATGAACCAAGCAGCCCTGGAAAACAATAGACTCCTCTGAATAAATGTCAGGGAAAGCTTTACATTTCATCCTGCTCTTAGTAGCTTAGCATGGCTTTAACTTTAACAGCTTGGCATACAATTAGTAAGCCACCTGCCTGAAGATGACTGGGCACAGTCAGTCATCCTGTCTGCAAGGCTGAGATTTGAGCTGGAGCTACCTTTCCTTATGTGCTTCCCCTGTATCTACATCTGTGCTCGTTTAAGTACAGGAGCTGCTACAAATGTCACTCAGGCTTTGCCTTGATTGCTGTACTCATCAGTGATGTCTTGCTAACACCGATAACCTTCCTTCCCCTGCTCTGTGTGTGCCTGCACTCTACAATACGAGACACCGGAGCAGCCGTCACTACCTGGATTTCTCATTTGGTCAAACCATCGCTTGCACTTTCCCATTTGGTAAAGTCATTCTGTAAAATTAAATGGGACGAAATCTGGAAAGAAAATCTCCGTATCTAAAAGCCTTTTCTTTAGGGAAGGTCAACTCTGAGTCTAAGCAGATGGGGCCCTTTTCCAGCTAACACTTTTGGGTAGCAAACAGATAAGGGTAACAGCCCTTAACTGATTTTACATCTCCGGGTGCATGTACCTAAGGATTTCCTGCAAGCTCCTTCCTCAGGCAGTGCCTGCGGAAGGCTGAAATTTGTCAAGGTGATCTGCCAATGTTAAATGTTATTTTATTTCCCACCTGAAGTCAGACATTTCCATTCTGATGGAATTTTTCTCATTTTCTGATTGCTTTTTTAGATATTGCCTCTCCCCATTTCAGTTTTCTTCTCTCTTCACTATTTCCAGAGGACAAGGGGGATGGGTGACTAAACCCAAATGAATATATTCTTTTCTAACTTACACTCTACTAAAGGAAGGAATATCTTTGTAATTCAGATCCCCCCAACCTCTTTTACCTGTGAATTGTTATGAGCTTTGATAACTTCACTGTGACGGGGATCTGCAGACCAAATTTGACATTTGATGCAATCACACATAGATGACTGAAGATTCCCTATTTTTTCCTTTATGATGGCTCTGAAGCTGCTGCCCTTTAGTTGTGATCATCTGAGACACAAACCTGAATTCCCAGTGAGTCTGGAAAACCTCCTGCAGAGTCTTAGAGGTGGTGGCTGGTTGGAAAAGGGCTAGGGGGAAGAGCTAGCTCTAAGGCAGGGGAAATTCCTTGTCATTTTGTCCTCTTTCCCTGGAGTTGGGCTGGAAATAAAGCAGTGCTCTTCCTCCAAAAGCAATGTGCTTTTAAGAAGCCAGCCTCATCTGAGCTAATCCAGGACCCACACACATGACAGGAAAGGCCAAATTCTCATTACCAGGGTAAGACTGTTATATCCCAGCCAGGCACTAATGACAAGAGGTTTAGGGTTTAGGGCTTGTTTCAGGCGTCACCATGCTTCCCCTAAGATTCCTACAGTCACTCTCCCCGATAATTGCACGGACTATGTTTTACAGTAATGATGAAATATTGCTTTTGAGAGTGGTGCTTTCAAAAATAACAGCAATTGCGTTCAAAAGAGCAATTCTGAGGCTGGCTGTGCAGGTAAATTACCCGAAATACCTGTAAAGTCAGTCAGATAAAATAACTGGAACACCACCAGGGCTAGTATGATGCTCTGGGGGCAGCTAAAACACTTCTTCCCATAAATCCTTTAAGTCCAAGTGAATAACTTCCTCAGGGAGCTGACAGCCCTCCCCACAAAGCCTTTTCCTTTAAATTTCTTAATGTGCAAAAGTGAATACTTGATTTCCTCTGACAACAGCAAGACAGATGTTTTACTAAAGGATGGGAATGAGTCAGGTTCTTCTCTGCCTTCTTTGCAATCTGTCCTTGGCTACTTATGACAGCAGTAACAATCCCTGCAAGCACACACTCAGAGGTCAGCCGGAGGTTGGGGATACAGCACCACTGACTAAATGCTATCTGGGCAACTCCACTTGGTTAGACCCAGGCACATTAGTTTATAAAAAGGAGTCAACACAGCTTATCCAAAAGAGAAGGATGAACTCTATTTAAACAGCTGAAAGCTTGTCTGATTTCTATTGCCTGATGCTTCATTTTTACTGGCTCTAAGCCTTCAGAGAAGCCCAGCCACCAGAAAATGAAATAATGCTTCATTCAGGAAAGTCATTCAGACAGGAACATTTGCTTCCAGTCCTGCAAAACTGCTACTGCATGACCAGGGAGTACAGACAGCCTGTTTTTCAAGAGAAGAAATAAAACACTGCAAATGTCAAAAGGGAAAGGCTAGGCACAGTATAACTGTTCCCTGTACCATGACTGGGTGCATAGTGAACCTTCTGTAGGAAGGGTCAAAGGCGTTAAATGACTTTAGACTTAGTCTGGGAATTAGAAAGTTTTTACCCATTAGAGGAGTGGATTTTTGGAGAGTCTCTTCACAGCAGTAATGAGGGCAGGCTGTCAGATGCCTTTATGGACAGGTTTATGTGACATGGCTGCTTGCATTAGCTGGGCTTGGTCACCACAACCCAGGAGGGCTCCTTTGGTCTCATTGCTTACATGCCTTGCGCTGGTGGGAGGGAGCCCAAGGAGACTGTCTACTCACAGTCCTCAGTCATGATCTGTGTGGGGAGTAGAGTCAGACTCCTGCATCTTTCATATTCACTTCTGAGAGCAGAAAATATGGTAAATCTTAAATATTATTACAATAAGGATAGGGAAACAAAGGCAGGGAGGCAGGAAACCTTGTCAGATACATTTATTCCCTGTGCACTCTGCCTCTTGCTCTCTGGTTTTGAGCCTACATGGACACTCAGGGAGAGGAAATGGAGTCACTGCTGTGCTCATGCTCAACTCCTTTATTTCTGACTTCATTTCTATACAGGAGCAGGAGAAATTTGTGCTCTCTGCACTTTTCTGGGCTCTAAATACACCATACACTTCATTCAAGCTGCAACAACCCTCAAATACTGGTGTGCCCCCATATCAGTGCCAGTTATTCTGGGAGAGAGTCCATCTTGCTTTGGACTTTGCTTTTGTTTCTCTTGGAGCTGCATGACATTGCACAGCTTTTCTAAGGATAAGATCACAGACTATGCACTGTGAAGATTAAGGGGACTTGTTCATGGGGATACTGTGGTTTTGTTAATGGACAAAAAAGGAGATTTTTGTGAGCTCAACTTACATACAAAATGAATGTACATTACTGTGTTCTAATTGCAAATAGCTTGGCTGGGGCTTTAAAAGCCTTTCATTCCAAGTCCAGTGTTTGTCAAATGTCTTTTAATACTAACCATGGTTATAAAGTGCACATTATTATTGTTAATACTTCCAGGAGCCTTTTCAGCAATCACCCTGCTCCTGCCCAATCCAGCGCAAACACTCTCCCTACCATGGAGGACTGGAAACAACATGAATTAAAAGGGACTCAGATAAGAGGAAAATAACTGGTTTTGTAAAGACTGTGAAGCTTGAAAGAACTCTCAAAAGGCTAAAGACCGAGAACTGCCTAATCTGAGTGCAGACACCCCCTTCATCCTCCATCCCGCAGTGCTGAGCTGGCAGAACTTCACCCTTACACTTCTTTTTTTCCCTATTTATTGTGCTTTGTTATGCATTTTAGGTTTAATTTTCATAGGAGAAATGAATTTGCTTCATTTCACTCACTGCATTTCATGCACCAGAACTGCAGGGGAGGGTTTGGCTTTTCAGTGCTGCCAGGGAAGATTTGTCTTGTCTCATTCCACCCAATGGTGGGCAGAAGACCCTGGATGAGCATCTTGCAGCCACCCTTCCCTGCCCACTGCCAGCGCATTTGTGAAGCGCAGGACTGCTCTCAGCCTTGGTCTACAAGCCCCCCATGTAACTTGGATAGTGAGATCAGTACATTCAGAGATCAAGACAGAAACCTGGATGAAATTCAGATGCCTCAGTCTATGAAGGATTAGGCCTTAGGGTAATGAATCCCACTGATTTCCAGTGAGACTTCAGTGAACTCTGAAGTGTTGACATCACTTCTGAAAGTAGTCCCAAATTGCTGCAGGACTTTATAGTTTGAGTGACTTGACCAAGGCCATGAAGAAAAGCCTGTAGTACTGCTAGGCATTAGCTCAGGTCCTCTAAATCTCTGTGTAGTCCTTTAGATCCTAAAGAGCTTGGTTAATGCCATGCTCCATACAGGCCTACAGCTCTTTTTCTTAAGGTTAAGGCTTAGCCCACTAACTTCTCTTTAGGAAGCATTATAAGGTAACCAAACAGTAACATGTGGAAAAAGATTAAAAGCCCTCATTGTTGTTATGTGGTTTTAATTAGTTGTGAAACAGTTGAATAAGAAATCTCATTTTGGCCTGTGACAGACAAAGAACATTGATTACCAAGCAGGTGATCAATGTTCTTTAGGAATCATTATATGGCAACCAAACAGTAACATGTGGAAAAAGATTAAAAGCCCTCATTGCTGTTATGTGATTTAATTAGTTTGAATCAGTTGAATAGAAATCTCATTTTGGCCTGTGATAGACAAAGAACATTGATTAACAAATATTTACCTGGAGATAGTCGTGTGGGCTCAACGGGAGCAGTAGAGAAACAGATGGAGGCAAAGGATGAGGTAGAAGCCACTCAGTGCATTACAAGCACAGCAGATAACATCCACAGCCCTGTTCGGTCATGTAACTCCACCACAGAACAATTAGAAATGGAGCTGAAATTAAATATAAGCCACACATAATGTCATTCAGCAAGTGTGATACAATGCAGTGTAATAGCCTGATACTGTATATTAACCCTGGGAATTAGTAACTAAATGGCTTGTGCTGACAACAAACAAGTATATGGTCTGGAGGGTTGAGAGAACAGACGTTCTTGCTATGCAGAGTCATAATGTGATCATTTTGCAAGACACTTTGGAGATAAACAGTCCAGGAGAAATGTCACTTTTATCTACATACATTAAGTGCCATTTCCATAAATTACATGCTGTGAAAGATCAATATATGATCTTGTTCATGGCTCATATGTCTTCTTCTCCTGTCACCCCAGAAGTGAAGGGGGGGTGATCTGGGTGTCAACACATGCACGAGCTCATCTGGCTAGGCTGATGTCAGCCCTCAGCTCTGCCCCCTGCCAAGACTGGCCAGGCTCCAATCTCAGCTCTTCCTCTGGGCATTTAACATGCTCTTCTAACCCAATTAGAAAGTCTAAATTCGTGCTTACACTACACTCAGAGGCTGTGTCTGCAATCACTGCAGCTGACGCTGTCAGCCATGACCTCTTTCCTCAGCTGTACAAGGGTACCAAGGGCAGATGGAATTCTTCCGCTGTTTGGTGTTAAGTTAGGGAAAAAACCCCAATGTCTGGGAAATGTGAGATGCTGCAAGAAACTGTATGATAAGGTTATGAATGACACAAAGTGTTTGCATTAAGTGCTCACAAGAAACTCTACTTCATTGTTTTCCAGGCTGAGAACTCCTCCTAATTGGAAATAGCCTCTCCCAGGCTTGTCCAGACCCTAATGAGAACTGATGAATCCAACAGGAGCAGGGGGAAATCTCCAAGCCAGCAAGTCCAATCCTCTCCCTTCACATATTCAAACATACCAACCTCTACCTCAAAACACGTGAGGCTGCAGGTACACGTTTCCTTCTAGTCCTTAAAACTGACAGCCCCATTTGTCTGAATAGTTCTTGGCCTCCAGAGAGATGAATAAAGCAGTAACCTGCATGTCAGCAATTTCTGGGCTGTCTACCACTGTGCCTCTCTGCTGTAGCAGCCGTTGTGGAGAGTATGTTAAGCTGTGCCAGAACCAACCCACCTTTCAGATGTGCAGAGATTTCTTCTCCTTTTTGAAAGCCCTAAATCCCCTCCTTACAACCCAGACTCCCTTGGCAAAGTGTTTTAGCATAAGGTCCCCCTCTTGACTCTTGATCTAGCAACACAAACTCTTGTTTTACCCTGAACCTTTCTTTCTCCAACCCCCTTAAAAATCCACCAACAAAAAAAGCCAGATGGCACAGAAATGTCAGTGCTAGTTTAATGGCAAATGTGAGAAGTAAAACAGAAGAGGGTAAAGCAAAGAAATCTGTAAGCAGTCCCTCTCCATCCAAAGCAACCCAAGGAAGCAGGTTCTCCAGAGACGTAGTTCTTCTGGAACTGAGCATATGGCAAATAGATTTTCTATTTTAAATTCACAAGTGAATGTTGGAATTTTCAAGCCAAAATCAATACACATTTTTCCTTCTTTCCACCCAGCAGCAGTTTGGGTTTTCTACTGTGTTTCTGAAAGGGCCAGAAGTGAAAAGTGTGGCCTCACTGAAATCAATAGCAAAAATCCTCAACTTTAACAGAAGCAGGGTTTCAGTTTGACCCTGGCAGACTTACACACTGAGAGCAGCTGCTCAGTTTTGGTGTACTGGAAGCAACAAGATCTATATAAAATCCTGGTGGCATTACAACCGCATTCCATAACCCTACACCCTCCACTGGCAAGCAAAAGTGACAGGTTACTCTAATTTTAGGGTAAGTTTACTGAATGGACATTCTTGGGATTCAAGAGCAAACTCTTACACACTTCTACCAAAAATGCCCCTTCTGCTCCTCCCAAGTTGGCTACAACCTGGGATTCCAGCACTTTGTTCCACAGGGAACAAGTGCATGTTAATGTGTCACTTCTCACGTGCAACCTCTCTACTAACATCCCTCTCTGTCCAGTTATAAGTGTGATCCTCTTTTGTACCAGGCTCCTGTCAGTCAGTATTTATCAACACCTTCCTTTCCACAGCATAGACAAGCTCAGAGCAGCCCAACTGCCGACTTATCCAATAAGCCAGCAAAGTGTGGGGCTCTTCCTCCATCCCAAGAGCCCAGCAGCAAGTCCTCCATGCTCCTTTTGCACCAGGCTTTTCCTTTCCATCAGCCTTTTTCCAAGCCAGCTTCCACTGTGAAAATGCTGGGACTGAGCTGCTGGTTCCCCCACCCTAGCAGAGGTTGTGTTTCAGCCTTGGAGAAGTCATCATCCTCTCTGCTGGCTCGAATCTGACAAATTTCCTATTAAAATCCTTATCAATGCATTTGCCCTCAGGACTAGACCACAAGTAATAACACAGTCTGGGGTCCTTTGGGAAGGAAAGCACTTTTTAAATGTAGGATGGTGTTATTAACAATAAGGAAAGCATTACAGTATATAAGATTGCCCTGCTGGAGACACCTACCTTCTGTATAGTGTGACATCCTTACGTGCCTCTGCTCGTATCTGCAAAGAATATAATTTTGTTAGTAAATTAGAACAACTCCATGTGTCCTAAGTAGTCATTATTTCTTATAGCTTGTTAAAAACAACTTAGATGCTTAAAAATGCACTGAGTAAAACCAGAGCCAGGCTTCCCCTCGGCTCTGTCTATCCTGTGTGCCTTCCACATAGCCCTCCAGCTCCACCAGCAGCGGAGCAGCACTTATCTGCAGCCCAGCCTAAGGACAACCAACCTGTGGCCCTTTGTCAGCTGAAATACCAGTATTCATTTTTAAGCTGCAGGAAAATAGCTCCCCAAGCAGATCCCAGCCGCACATGGGTGTCCCCAGGCCTGCTCTGAAGCAATTACCAAGGAGGGCAGTGTCTGACTGGGATGGAGGAAGGGTCAGGCTGGTGTATGGAGATGGGGATGTTTTCCAGGTTGGACTGATGGGAGCACAATGACTGCCACCCTGTCATCATGCCCAGCCTGGCAAAGTCCCCTCATGTTGCAGGCAGCCAGTCACGTCTTCTTTTACAGCTGCATTGGCAGTCTCTTTCCATTAGGAAGGGGTGAGGATGCCCAGGCCTCACTGGGGCTCACGCAAAGCCTTGTTACTAAAGCCCCCACTCTTTTAAAACATGCAAAGCCCATTTCTGAGAGAATCTGAAGGAAAAATGGGCTTTTGTTCTGCATCCCATAGACAGGCTGAGGAGGAAGAGGTAGTAATCCACAGGGAGAGGAAATAACCCAGACCATGACTGAAAGCCACACCTCGCAGTGTCCCTACAAAATAGCCACTCTGCTGCCTCTCAGTCCCCCTCAGAGCTGAGCGCCAACGCACAACCTGAAGCCAGGAGCAATGAAATAATATCCCTGCCATTCTAAAAAGAGAAACCAGAATGAATTAGCAAGTGTTCCCAGCAATTCCAATCCCAGCCCATGCCTGTCTGGATCTCTGCCTGCTTCTGAACACCCAGGCAAAAAGAAAACAGGTCCAAACTGTGATGAGGGCTGAGGAGATTCTTAATGATTTTCTGCAGAGGAAAAGAATGAGCTGGTGGAGTGAGACAGGATTATGTTCCTTTGTAAGGTTACAGACGTGAAGCATAGAGTTCACTGCTAATGGGGTTAATCCTTCTATTGGAGAGGAAAAAAATCAGATGGTAGCACCTTTAAACTGGCCCTTGGCAAGTACTTAATTATTGCGAGAGACCAATTAAATAAAGTCGGGTCAGAGTGTCTCAGACCGGGGAGAAGGAGTTCTCAACCTCGCCTGGCTCATCTGAAAGATGTCAGGGGTTAGGAGTCTGCTGTGAATGAGGTTCAAGTCAATAAACTCCTTGTAATTAGCTTCATGTAGTGTTTGTTTTCCTTGAAATACATACAATTAAGTGAAGAAAAAGAAAAGTGTGAAGAGAAAACAAAAGCATCCCATGAAAGCAGAAATAAGGCAGGCGGGACGTGGGTGGGCATGTTACTGCACTCTCATGCAGTGGGGCTCCCAGCCTCATTCATGCTGCTGCTCTCCTTGGGGCAGACCTCACCCCAGGACAGTCAATGCTGCAGTTACCTGGAGATGAAACTCAAGCTCTGTCCAAAGCCCCCTCATGCAGTGGGACTCCAGCCTCATTCATGCTGCTGCTCTCCTTGGGGCAGACCTCACCACAGGACAGTCAACCCTGGAGATGAAACTCAAGCTCTGTCCAAAGCCTTCTCCATCACCTGAGCGCTATTTAAACCCCTGTGTTGGGGATTTACAAATGCTTCACTAGTGATCTTTAGATTCGCTGTCTGTACTGGGGAATGCAATTGAGTCTTCCCTATGAGACCCATTTAAAGCTGCCTGTTTTTAAAGACTCACTAAAACGCTTAAACACTTGAGATAAAACAGTACCTAAGTGGGATTCTCATTACGCTGAGACACATGCACAACTGCCTCATTGTCTTCAGAGGGATTTAACTGCTGCCTATGGAATACAGCACCTGGGTCACTGCTCATCGTCTGGACAGAGGTAACTTGGCTGTGACCAGAATGTGCATGAGTTTTGCTCCAAAGCAGGCCAAGGATGGACAACTGGCCAATGGCCACAGTGACTTGTGCATTAACACAGGATCTGTCTCACTCTGAAACACTTCAGTGGTTGCAAAGACATAACAAAGAGACTATGACAAATCTCAAGCCTTTTGAGAACTGCTCTTAGAGACCTGAAACTACAGGTCACAAATTGATTTGGGTTTTATTCTCTAATAGCTCAGAAAGATTTCTCCCGCATTGGCTTGACAAAAGCCTCTTCATCATGCCAGTTGGATCAATTGAATCCTGCTGGTAATGCTGCACTCTTTGTTACTTCCTCTACTCTTTACACCTCCATGTAAAGAAAATGTGAAATAGGATCCTCTCGAGATACTGGGGAGAAAAGTAAGATATTCAGTATTAACATGCTTAGACATTATCTCAGCAGCTCAGTGGGGATTCTTTTCACCTGATTCTTAATTTAGTACTTTAATACTTCTCCAGATGAGGTTACACAATTAATAAATCCTCCATGTTACACAGAATTCTACTGTGCAGAAAGAATATCACAATAAAACAATCTTCTATTTTTAATAAACACCACCCTCCAATAGAAGAACATTACTCACATAACCTGTGTATGATTGTTAAATGTCTGCTGCCTTTCAAAGGCAGTTGGAGTCATTAAGAGTATCTATGCAAGCCTGGAGTATAGGGCAAAAGCAGGCTGCAACAGAGTTTGGCTTTCAGAACAAAGAGCATGCTTCTGAATTAAAAGAGCAACAGAGCAACAACAAAAGAAACAAAGGCAGTATTTCATAGTGAAGCCATTACTGACATTAGGGGGAAACTGAGACTCATGTATGCATGAAGCCAGTGGCCACAGTCACACAGATGCACTGTTTTCACTCCCCAGGCAAATACTAGATCCTTTATGTTTTACTCCATCATGAAAGGACTACTCTTAGGATGGGAAGGTTTTATTTCAGACAGGTTGTGGTGCACTCAGTGAGACTATCACTGTTTCTGGCAACAAATCTGTGAGAAATCTTCCTCCTCACACAGATCCCTGACCCTTTGTCTTGGCTTTGGCCTGCAGCCACTGTCATGGCCAAGGGTGACATGGGTTGGGTTTGAGTCCATAACTGCTTTATGGGGCTTTCCATCACCTGGGCATCTGTAACTGCATTACCTGCATCTGGTAACTTTGCTCAAATAGCCTGCAAATCTCTTCTTTCCCTCTGTCCTTCATCAACAGTACTTTTGTTACTTGCTTTTACAACTTTTAACCTTTATTTTTCTTTTGGCCATCTGCTTTGTTAACACTGCCTCGATGGATAGCACCATGCAGGCTTAAAACTAATGACGACTCCTATAACAAATGGATAAATAACTGCAAATCGTTGTGGATTGCACCAGTGTTTGAAAAGGTGCTTATAAATAGCTTACAGTATGTCAATCAGACATGAAGAGATGTTTTAATAAACAGTTAATCAATGATGGCCATCTTATACATTTATAAAGTGACAGCACTGGCTCTATTGCTTTTCACCTTTCTGATATTTACTGCAGATTCACAGGATGGTTTGTGATCTTCAGGAATATGATTTTTAATTTATACCATTTATTTAACACTTATTAAAACGTCTCTTTCCATTTATTACCAGTTTATTACATATTCCTGGCATGAGAAACCTTCCCTCTTGCTCCTGCTCTTTTCAGAACAGAACTAAGGATGTGTATCACCTTTCTTGTTTCACGTTCCAGTCGCAACAAAGACCAGTGATTCCTGATGGTGTGTTTGTCTCACTACCTTTCTAAAATGGCTTTCTGTGTTAGCAACACTTGAACTAACACGTCAGCTGTCTGCCAAGGATTGATTGGTTACACACAGTTAATTGGTGAGACAGAGTCACTCAGCCCATTAATTCAAGTTTGGGCTGTTTGTCTTTAAGACATAATAGGCTCTTTTGTAGACCTGGGGCAGGATGGGCTCATCTGTGCTCTGTACCCAGCTCCTGCCATAACAACCCATGCTTTGGGGCAGTGCCAGAATTGCACAGTGAGGTAACAGGCCCAGTTTTGGGTATTTGCCTTGTGTGAGTATAATCTGTGAAATGAACTCCAGAGCCATCACGCTGCGGTGATCGTTTAACAGACTTGCTGGCCTTTGGAATCTGATCCGGAGAGACAATTGCTCTTGGCAACAGATCACCCCACTGACGGCTCTGATCTTCAACCTCCAGATGTACTAGGAGTAACTGAATGGGATTATGATGAAGTTAAATTGGCAGAGACTTGTTCTCTACTCCATTTCATCCGAAGATGGAAATGAAAATAGCCCAGCCTGGCATCGCCCTGCACAATAACCTGACTCTATTGCAAGTTTTCCACTCCTGCAATCTGCAAATGCTTGCTTTGCTCAGACAGATGACCTTGGAAAGCTACTGATGGTGACAGCTGACAAAGCCAACATGTTTTCTATGGCTGTTTTTCCTCTGGTATTATTCACCTCAGGTAGTGCTTTCACAGGTTATCTGTGTCCTACAGATTTCAATGGTCCCCATCAGGAGCTATTCTGGGCCTCTTGAGTTGTACAGGTTGTCTTTCTGGGGTAGAACACACCATCCTCTCACCTCTGCAAAGGTACCTTCCAGTTGCACCAAAGACAAAAGTGCTGACCTGGTTTGATCTCTCCATCTCCATCCCCTTTTTTCAGCATTCCAAAGATGTCTTATTTCAGAACCAGAACAACTAGGCATGCTGTAGATGAGAGCTTTATAAATGCACATAGCTCTTCTTGGTATCAGTGAGAGGTCTGAATACATATTTAATATCAAAGGCTTATAGCTTAAAGAAAAAAAGAGTGATGATTCTTGCTGCCCAGCTTTGAGGCACATGAAAGGAACCTGATTCTGAAGTCATGCTGAGCTCTGAGAATCAGGCCAGCAAGTTACATACCCCCAAACACTTGTTTATTTTTATAATCCCAGCTGAAACATGGCA